AGCATAAATCACAAAATATGATAAAAATGTTACCCCCGAGACCTGTTGCAGAAAATCTTATGTATGTATTGGAAGAAAAAAAGGTTTTTTTGTTTAACCTTTTTCCCCTCCCCTCCCCTCCCCCCACATTCCTTCTCTCCATTTTCCCGACAAAAAAAAAATTTCTGGTTTCTGATTCCACGACTCTTTTTTTCTTCTTCCTAATATTAACTTTATGGTTCGTTATTAACGTTTCATTTGCACAACAAACGATGAATGAGAGGGTAGGGGAGGGAGAGGGGAAAGGGGAAAAATAATTAATTTATTTTTTCTCATGCGTGATCACGCGTAACGTAATTATATAACAAACGACAAACGACCGACAACAACCTTTGTAGAGTCCATTCATTCCTTTGTCGATAATTTTTTTTTGTTAATATTTAATGAAATTAAGTCTCTCGTAAAACGTATGATTGACATTTAAAACATCAAAAAAAAAAAATATATCGATCGATTAATCGATTTCGGATTAAATTTTTTTTAGCGATTGACGTAATATATAAAATCGAATGAAAAAAAAAAAAAAAAAAAGCAGAAGACGGGGAAAAAAAAAAAATTTTTTTCGGATTAACCGCAAACCATTAAAAAGGAAAAGCGGAAAATTTTTCAAGTGGTGCTTCCCTTCGTAAAATATTTGGCAATGCGATTATAATGATGATGATGATGATGATGATGTGCGTGAGTGAGGATGGAAGAATGAGGGGAGGGAAGGAGGATAAGGGAAATGAGGAGGAGGTGGAGGGGGTCGGAAAAATATTAAACGAGTATAAAAAAAACCCATCATTGATTTTTTTTTTTCCCCCCAAGTCCGTTCAACTTATCGTAGTAACTAACTTGATGGTTAACGAAAAAAAAAAATTTTTATTTTTTTTTATTTGTTCCTTTGTTTGTGTTTGTTCTCTCGTTCGTTCGTTCGTTCGCTCGTTTGTTTGTTTGTTTGTTTGTTTTTCGTCGAGTTAAACTAATTTTTTTTTTCTTTTTTCCTTCGTTCGTTTTTACACACACTCTCTTTCTCTCTCCTTTTTTCCGTTTGTTATTTTCAAATCGCCCCCCCTCTCATCCCTTCCTCCGGAAAAAATCGATTTCCCCCCCTACGTTTTCGCAGACTCTCCTCCTCCCTTCCTCTCCCACCCCCTACTCTTTACTCGATTTTAAAAAAATTTGAAAAAATTACAAAGTGCGGTGGTGGTAAATAGTATCGTCGAATTCGATGTGGAAATTTTTTTTTTTTTTATTTTCTTTTTCCTTTTTTATAACCTTTTGCAACTTTTCAATTTTCCAGAAAGAAAGAGAGAGATAGAGAGAGGGGGAGGGGGGAGGGAAAACCCATCCACATTTTCCCACCAATCAGACGCGAAAAATTTGAAAATGTTAAAGTAATATAAAAATATTTTGCTCCAGTTTTTTTTTTATTTTTGGTTGGGGGGATGGGAGGGTTTCCGCTGTCGTGATAGAAATCGAATGCGGGAGAAGGGGAGGAGAGATCGAGGGGAGGGGGAGAAAACCGACGACGACCGATAATAACGAAAAAAAAATTTTTTTTTTTTTTTTCAGCATTTAAATTACTTTTTTTTTTTTTTTTGCTATAATTTAATCCGATGTAGGTTGTTTGCATGTTTTCTCTCTGTATTAAAGGTCAATAAAGAATTCAGACGACCTCGAACTCTTTTTTAAATAATTTAAATTTGCTACGGATAAAGTTTTTGCTTTTTTTTTTTCTGGAACGTCATTAATTAAACCGTGCAAAAGGAAAAAAAAAATATATATTCAAACTTTAAACTGTTCACGCTTTTCTTTTTACTCTTTCTCTCTTTCTCTTTCTTTTTCTCTCTACCTCTCTCTCTCTCTCTCTCTCTCTCTCTCTCTCTCTCTCTCTTTTCTTTTCTTCAACACAAAAATTTTCCACCGTTTTCGTTATTCTTCTTTTTTTTTTTTATTTCATTCCAGTGATTTTATAACCCACCCACAGTTTTTTTTTTTTTTTTTTTTTTGATTTTCCACTTTATAAAATTTCCAAAAAAACAAATTTTTTTTCCTTTTCTTTCCTTTTATTCGTATTTTCCTTTGTCAAAAAAAAAATATATATATATTTAATGTGGCGTCAATCTTCTTTCCTTTCATTCGACCGCATCTTTCACGTTTTAATTTTTTTTTTTCTTTCTTTCTTTCTTTCATTCGTTTCTTTTTTTAAACGTTTCAGAATCTTTTACTTTTAGTTCCGCCCCCGCCCCATTCCTCCCCGTCCCCCTTTTGTTTCTTATTTGTAACTTTTTTTCCTTTTCAATTTTTATATTTATTTATTTTTCCCGCATTTTTTCTCACTTCACCTCATCTCTTTCTTATTCCCCACCCTCCGCCCTCCGTTACCTACGTAAGAAAATTTAAAAATTTAAAACCGATGGAAATACAATTTCCCGTTTGTACGCGTCGTCACACGACGAATAAAAAGTAAGAAAGGAAAGGAAAGAGTAGGAGAGTGCGAGGTGGGACCGGGGGGGTAAGGGAAGGAAAGGGAAGGGAAAGAGGCATAAGGATGAATAAAATTACAAATGATTACGTAATAAAAAGGAAAAAAATTTTTTTTAAAAGATGAAAAGAGAGAGAGAGAGGGGAAGAGGAAGAGAGAAAGAGAAAGAGAGAGAGAGAGAGAGAGAGAGAATAAGGAAAATCCGTAAACTCGAATAAAAAGATTTGATATTATAGTACACAAGACAAGAGGGTTGTTCAAAAGGTTTTTTTGCTGCTGCTAATATTAATAATATAAGAGTCGAAGGTAATTTAAGGTTAGGGAGGTGGGGAGAGAATAGACGGTGGTGGGAGTGGTCGGGGAAAAAAGGATTTTCAAAATTTAAGAAAAAGGTTTCTCTCTCTCTCTCTCTCTCTGTCGAGTCAAGTTTTAACCTCTTTTTCCTTCCTTCTTTCCTTTTTAGAGAAAAGCGCAGCAGCAGCAGCAGCAGTAGAAGCAGAAGCAATCTTTCTTAAATTTTGACAGTTTTCTTTTTTTTTTAAAGAGAAAATTATATTATTGCGCATCGAAATTTTGGGATATTTTTTTTTTTTTTTAAATATTAAATTTGAAAGGTTTGTTACCTGGAAAACCGTTGGAAAGGGGCGGGATGGAGGGTGGGGTCGGGGGTGAGGATAGGGCTAAGGGTAGAAAGGGTGCGCGTGTGTGTGTGCGAAATTTTTCTCTCTCCCCTCTCTCTCTCTCCTTCACCTTCTTCTTCTTCCACGTCTACGTAATTACGATATCGTAGAGTAACAATAATAGAATGAAAACCTCGTGATAATAATAATAATAATAATAATAATAATAATAATAATAATAATAATAATAATAGCAATAATAATAATAATAATAATAATAATAATAATAATAATAATAATAATAGCAATAATAATAATAATTATTATTATTATTATTTTTAATGCAAAAAAAAAAAAAACCCTCAATTTATTTCGGTCACGCCATTCAAATTTCAATCGTACGTATATACATATATATAAAAATTTTCTCGAAGTAGTAATAATAATAATAATAGTGATGATGATGATGATGATGATGATGATGATGATGATGATAATAATAATAATATTCATGTGGACTCACCCATTTTTGTGAATTTCTTTTTTACTAACGCAAAAGGCGGCAAAAGTATCGTCGAGCAAGCAAATTTCTTTTTTCTTACAATTTAACGATTTACAAAGTTCGCTGTTTGGATCGTGTATCCATTTTTTGTGTTCGTCGACATTTTTAGAATTCGATTTCGATTCGACCTGGAAAAAAAAGGAAAACATTACAAAATTTTTTTTTAGTCCGATGTTAGTTGGCGACTATACTCGACGTTAACATGCGATTTTCTTTCTCTCTCTCTCTCTCTCTCTCTCTCTTTTCCGAGACAAACTAGCTAAAAAAAAAAAAAAAAAATTTTCTTTTTTTCCTTTCCTTATAATTTATATGATATTTATACGACGAGCAGACATTTTAATAATAATAATAATAATATTTAGTTTATAATTCACCTTACGTTTTTGTACTTTCGTTTTTCGAAGAATTTTCTTCTCTCTCTCTCTCTTTTCCTCCCTATCTCTCTTTCTCTCTTTTCCTCCCTATCTCTCTTTCTCTCTTTTCCTCCCTATCTCTCTCTCTCTCTTCTACTCTCTCTCTCTCCGGTTTATTTCACATCCAAAAAAAAAGAAAAAAAAACATTCGTTTATATATAATTCATTTGACGTCGGAATAATTTTTTTTTTTTTTTTTTTTTACCGACTTTCAAGTTTCTTTTCCTTTTTTTTTCTTTTTTTCCTTTTTTTTGGAAAACCGAATTTTTTTCCCCCTCCCTAATCCTAGAATAATAATTTTTATTTATTTATTTACTAAAAAAAAAAGAGAGAGAGAGAGAAAATAAAAATAAAAACTTGAGATGAAAGAGAAAACAAAACTTAAGATGATAATTTTGAGAAAATAATTTTTTCTTTTTTTTTTTTTATTGCACGGTTCATAGCTTGGCGTAAATAAAAAAAAAAAAATCATTACAGGACCGTATCCAGTCTTTTTAGTGCAAACCCAACATTTATATCCTTTAAGGTTATCTATCGATTTATTATCGATTTGTAGGAAAAATAAAAAAAAAATTCTCCGCATTTTCTCATTTGAACTTTTCGAAACGTTCACGACTCGTTCGTTTTATTTTTTTATTTTTTTCCTTTTATTTCATTCCTTTTAATTTTTTTTCCTTTTTATTAAATTTTCAATTATTTCATTAAAAAAAAAAAAAAAAACGTTTTTTTTTCTCACTTATTATTATTATCATTATCATTATTATTGTTGATGTTTTTGTTATCGTCGTCCTCGTCGTCATCGTCCTCGGTTTATTATTATTAATTTTTTTTTTTTTTTTTTAATTTTCCGTTGAAATTTTCCTTTTTCTTTTAGCAAAAAAAAAAAAAAACAAAAGCAAAAAAAATTAATTAATTATTTTAATTAGTGAGATAATAAGAAAATAATAATAATAATAATAAATAAATTAAAAAAAAGGAAAGGAAAGAAAAGGAAAGGAAACGAAAGGAAAATTTTTTTTCATAAAGTTTTATTATTATTATTTTTTTTTTTACGGAAAGGCTCGGAATCGATAAAACATTCAATTATAACTTAAACAACGACAACCAACAACAACAACCGACAAACAAACCAACAAACAAACGAACGAACGCATTTTTTTAAAAAAAAAAAAAATTCCTTTTCGACCTTTTTTTTTTTTTTTTTTTTTTTTTAAATTTTCAATTCGAATCGTCACACGTTTCCTTTTTTTTTCTCCCCCATCATTTTCCGCGTCGAATTTTTTCCCTCCCCTCTCCCCCTTTCCCTTTCCTCCTTCCCCCCTCATTTTTTCTCCAGAGAAAAATCGAGAAAAAAAAAACTGGAACGATTCGAATTTAGGTCACTGTTACCACGGGAAAATAAAATGGTGGTAGTACGTTTATATGTAAGGTAAATAATACTCCTTGTTTTTCTCACGTCAGAGGGGGGGTAAGGGTGAAGGTGAGGATGAGGGGGTAAGGGTGAAGGTGAGGGGAGGGGAGGGCGAGGGTAAAAGGAATTCGATCGAAATGTTTTCGTCCGGCACGAAATTTCATTTTGTTCTATAAAATTTATTTACCCGCACTCTATTTATCTGCACACTCACATTTACGTCTATCCGTGAATTACGGGGCAAACGATAAGAAAATTTTCCTTTTTTTGAAATTTTCCTTTTTTAAAGAAATTTTCATATACTCTCCATTTTTCTCTTCATTCATTCTTCTTATCTTTTCCTCTAGACAAAGGAAAATACGAAAAAAAAAAATTGATTTTCCTTTTATTTTCGAATTTTACAACTACCGTATAATAATTAAAAAGTATACAATTTCTCTCCCTTTCTCTCTCTCTCTCTCTTTCTCTTTCTCTCTATCTCTCATTCTCTCTCTCTCTCTACATTTCATTCTTTTTATTTTTCTTTTTGCTCCCTTTTTCATTTTCTTTTCCTATTATTTTCTTTTGTTTCCTAATTTACGTTATAAGTTTTCTTTTTCCTTTTCCTTTTACTTTTTTCCTTTTTCCTCCTTTTTTTCTACAACTAAAATGTTTTTCTAATCTTTAAAAGAAAATTCAATAATTAAAAATTATATCTCCCCCTCCCTCTTTTTATTTTTTTATTTTGTTTTTTTTTTTTTTAATTTTTGTTTTCAGCCTAAAACTTTTCAATTAAATTTTAAATCTTTCTTTCTCTCTCTCTCTCTCTCTCCCTCTTTTTCTCTCTCTTTTTCACTATTATTATTATTATTATTATTATATTTTTCACGTAAAATGTTGTTGTAATAATTAATTTTTAATTAAAAGCTTTTTTTTTTCTCATCGTCGTCTGGATTATTATTATTATTATTCACGAACGTTTTTCACGAATAGTTAAAATTGTCGAAGCCTTAAAATGTACCTAACAACAACAACAAACAAACAAACAAAAAGAAAATTTTCTTTTTTCGTTTTCTCCCGTTTTATCATCATCATCATCATCATCATTATTATTTTTCTTACTTATTCAAAAATTTTTATTAAAATAAATAAATAAAAATTTTCCTTTCTTTTGAATCCATAAACTTTTATTAACACTCGGAAAATATTTTCGAAATTTTCTTTTTCTTTTTTTTTTTCGGAAAATTAAATTTTTCCTTTTTTTTGTTTTTCTCGTGTAATAAAAAAAAAAAAAAGAAAATGATTTTTGACTTTTACTTTATTAGCTTATGAAACTTTAACTTTCGTATTTTTTACTTAATGAAATTTTTCTCATTGAAAATTATATACGTTTTATGTGTGTGCGTGCGTGTGCTTGAGTGCGTTATAAAATTTTTGTAAATGAGGAATTTACCTCCCTTCCCCCTTCTCCCCTCCTTCCCATCCGAATATTTTTTTCGATTTGTAGCCGGAGGGAGGGGGGTTAAAAAAAATATTTAAATTTTTTCCCGTGAAAAAAGTAAAAAGGAGTCGCACGATAGGAAAATAAAAATAAATAAATTTTTTATTTTTTTTATTCGGGGGGCGGGGGGCCAGGGAGCTGGTTTCCCATCGTTTTAACGGTATATACAACATCGCGAAAAAAAATGAAAAAAAAAAGAACACAGGAGAGGATAGAAATCGTGCAAATCGGTCGTCGTTTTCCCTTCCCTCCTCTCTCCTTTCCCCCTCTTCTCCCCCTTCTTCTTCCTTCCCTCTTCTCCTTCTTCACCCGCCCGCGCCCCGATAAAGTTATACCATCAACTATTTTACTCTTCCAAAAAAAAAGGGGGAGGGAGAGAAAAAAAGGGAAAGAAAAATGTTTTTCCTTTTTCTAGTAGTCCGGGGGGGAAAGGGAAATGGAAAATTTTTTTTTTTTGGCGTCGAATAAATTTTTCCGATTTTTTATTTTTTTTCATTTCATCCATTTTCTTTCCTTTTTCTTTTTTCTTCTCTCTTTTTTCAAAGCAATTAACGAATGAAAAAAAAGGGGGGGGAAAAGAAAAACTCAAACGTTAAAAATTTTTTTTTCAAAAGTTAATTATCATTGATCCCCATTTTTATATTTTTTCCCAAAAATTTTTCCTTCTTTCTAAAACAGGCTCCGATAAACCCTTTTTTTATGTTTCCCAATTTGATTCCTTTTGAGTTTTATTAATTTAATTTATTATTATTATTATTATTCCAAAAAAAAAAAAACAAAATTGATAAAAAGTTAATAATAATAAAACTGAACGCGCTCACAAACGATTAACAAAAAAAAAAAAAAAAACACATTAGATCGTCTTGTTGCCTTCTATCATTACATTATCGAAATGAAAAAAATTTTTTTTTTCGATTTAATATTTTCCGATATATATTTTCTCTCTCTTCCCTCCCCTCCTCCCTCTCTCTATCTCTGTATCTCTTTCTATCTCTCTCTCTCTCTATATGTCTCTTTTTCTATCTCTCTGTCTCTCTTTCTATCTCTCTCTCTCTCTATATGTCTCTTTTTCTATCTCTCTGTCTCTCTTTCTATCTTTCTCTCTCTCTATATGTCTCTTTTTCTATCTCTCTCTCTCTTTCTCTCTCTCTCTCTCTCTCTCTCTATATGTCTCTCTTTGTCTCTCTCTCTCTTTCTTCCTCTCTCTCTCTTTCTTTATCTCTCCTTCCTCTCTTTCTCTCTCTCTCTCTCCTTCTCGAAAATGTGTAAATTGTAACACACACACACACACACAAACCTTTTAATAGTTAAATACTATCAAACGTTTAAATTTATTTATTTACTAAAAAAATATCGATTTTTTTATTTTTAAAAATTCATAATATTATTACGTACGTTACATACAAAATGTTCGTTTTAATAATAATAATAATAATAATAATAATAATAATAATAATGATAATAATAATGATAATAATAATGATAATAATAACGATAAGTTCCTTCGGGACGTGTGAAAAAGTTTTTTTTTTAAATTACCTAAAATAAGTAAAAATAAATGTAAAAAATTACGACTCGAAAAATTTATTTTCACTAATTTTTTAAATGTTGGCAATACTATTATTATCATTATTATTATTAACGATAAAATAAAAGGATGGGTGTAAAATGGTGGAAGGTTTATATTATTAATAAAACGAAGTAATGTATAATTGAGAAAGAAAGAAGACATCCGTGACTGGGTAAGAGGTTGTGAAAGAAAGAGAAGAAAAGGGGAACCACCATTTATCAAGACGCAGCAGGACACCACGTTACAAATAATAATAATGATGATAATATTATACCTGAATAAGGACCTGAAAACGTTTAGAAAACGTTGGGATACGTTGTAACGCTATGTGTTCGATCCTATCCATATTCTACCTCGATTAAAAGAGCCAAAAAAGGTTATGAGGAGTGAATGAGAGGATCAACAGACGGAAGGTACGCAAAAGGTTAACAAACAAGATCCATCCCGCGGTCATCGTGAAAAATCTACCGGAAAACACCCGACCGACAGAAATTTTCATTTGATGGAAAAGTAATGAGACAGACAACATAAAGAAGCGTGACCCCATCGCATACATCAAATGGAAAAATTTTTTATAAATAAAAAATAGCAGAAGAAAAAATTTCAATTGTTCGAAATCAAACAATAATAATAATAATAATAATTTTACCTTCTTATTTCAGAAACGACGCCCAAACCAAAAAAAAAAAAAAAGGGTACGGCAACCAAAAAAAAAAAGAAGAAAGAAATCAATCGAACAATAAAAGAATAAAGAATCGATTTTGTTGTATATACAGGTACGAAAACAATTTTAAACGTTCACACACATTAAAAAAAAAAAAAATTATTCTTTCTCTCTCTCTCTCTCTCTTTATCTTTCGTCATTCAATAAAGATGAGGTAATTTAATGTCACCTTCAAAATCTTTCCTTCCATTTTCATCATCATCATCATCATCATCATCATCATCACCTACACGAAAAACATAATTAAGAAAATCATACAAAAAAAAAAAAAAGAAAATTTTTAATTCGTTTTTTTTTTTTTTTATTTTCAGGTAATCGATTCGAACAAGTATTTACCACTAATCGTTTTTAAATTTTTTCTTTATTCTCCCTCCTCTCCCCTCCTCTCCCCTCCCCTCCCTCATCCCGCCGTTTCCTCCCCTTGTTTCCCCCACGCCATTTTTTTCATGAAAAAAAAAAACTAACTAACTACTACCTGCTTCCTTTTTTTTATTTTTTCAAAAACACACACAAAAGGATTTGCGGCTTACTACAAAAGAAGAAAATCATTTATAGCGAATAATAATAATGATAATAAATCATTCTGAGAAGAATAATGTGGAAAAATGGTGTAAAAGCTGATTGAGGAGGTATCCGTCAGGTGGCAGGGAGAAAAACATCAGACAGTTAAAGAACCGGACGAAAAGCTCAAATAGCCAGGATGTGGGGAGACGTGAGATGAGAAACTATTCCGGTCATCGTGGGAGCATCATTGGGAGCCATGCCACCACAATCAATAGGAGGAAAAACCATCCAGGAAATCGCACTATGTGGGACGGCCCATATTTTTCGGGATCCTATATAAATAGCACCAACGAAATTTGGGATTTTATCCCTAAGGAATCATCCAGGGTAGAAACCTGGAATAAATGAACTTAAAAACCCCGACAAATAAGAGCCTTGTCGTGTTTAAAAGTGATAATAATAATAATAATAATGATAATAATGAAAATAATAATAATAATAATAATAATAATAATAATAATAATAATAATAATAATTAAATAAGTTGCCATGCAGTTGCGTTATGTCAACTTATTTAAATTAATTTTAATAAGTTTTATTTATTGATTTAGTTTTAAGTTATGTATCAAATGTTTTGTTTAATTGAATGTAATTTATTGTAAATATATATAATTAATTTTTTATAATATTTGTTTTTTATTTATATTCCTGATTTTAAGCGAAAATCCACTGTTTCATTTTATTTTTTATTAAACCTCCTGGATCTCATGTTTTACGGATACATCAGAGCAAATTTTTCAAATGTTTTTAGTGAAAAATGACCTTGTACGCGAAAATCCAATGTTTACGTTTTATTTTAAGTAGGACGCTATTGTTTACATTTTCTTAAGTGGCACAAGAAATTTTAAATTTCAATTTTGTGAAAATTTTCATGTTCACCAAGGACGCCATTGTTTACGTTTTACTTTAAGTAGGACGACCTTGTATACTTTAAATGTGACATTTAATTTTTGCGGGAACCCAATGGCGCATTTTTTGTTACTTTTTTTTTTTTATACCTCCTTGGATATTATGTTTTACGGATACATCAGAGCAAATTTTTCGATTTTTTTAAACGTAAAAAATTTCAATTAAGATAAGTAGTAAAATTCTGAACTGCCTTCATATTACTTAGGGGTTAGGGGTAACAAAGTTTTAATTTGTATATTTTAAGGATGGAATGCATGAGGGAAAATTATGAAAAGGGGGAATAGTAGGAAAATTAAGTATTGAAGTAGTTCTGAGGAAAAAGTCATATGATAACTGATTAATAATTGTGATATAGCAAAATGAGAACAAGATAAAGACAGAAGAACGAAAAGGGAAGTCTTGTTCTACTGTCGACCCGAGTCAGGTATTGACAAGGTTGTGAATCTCCTCATTTTTCCTGTTTTTGGTTGTTACTCCAGAGATGTCAGTCATCACTGGAGTCCAGGAGTACAGAAGATAATTCGTTTCCATCAAATAAGATGGTCTCAGGAAGACTTACGACAATTACTGTGACTTCATAGGTTGTACCTATAAGACGAAAACCTATCCATCAAGCATGTAGCATCACGGATATTCAGGCATTTATTCCTTAGGGAACGGCAGGTATAAACCTGGAATAAATGTTGACAAAGCTCCGACAAACATTAAGACGAATCGTCGTGAGATTACGAGTGAAAATAATAATAATAATAATAATAAATAATAATAAATAATAATAATAATAATAATAATAATAATAAATAATAATAATAAAACCATCATCGATTTATATATAAATAAAAAAATAAAAAAATTTATTTCAATTTTACTTTATATATACATCATTTAAATAACATTTTTTTTCCACCGATCGATTTCGATAATTTAATATTTCGATTAATCGATTTTTTTTTTTAAATCTATTTATTAGAAATTTAATCTTGTAATGTATTTCATCCTTGTTCGTTTGTTCTTCTTAAATTATTTAATTTTATTACAAGAAATCAACAACGAACCGAATATTAAAAAGATATCGATTATTTATTTCATTTTTTATTTTTTCAAAGGAAAAAAAAAAGAAAATTAAATAATTTTATAAAAATTCGTTTTTCTTTTTTCTTTTTTTTTTTTTGAATTTAACTGACATCGAACGTTTTTTTTTCCTTTCCCCTAAATCCCATATCAGACATCCTTGAAAACAATTTTTATTAATTTTTTAAGTTTAATTATTTTACAATGTTTAAAATTATTATTATTATTAATTATTATTTATAATTAATTTAATACGGGAAGAAAAAAACGTTTTTGTTTTGTTTTTTTTTAAGATTAAATAATAATACATGTAAATGCATTTAAAATACATTATTACGAAATAACAAGATGGCGGACGTTAACAAATGCACTGGAATCAAACTGGAATAAATAAAGTTGTAGGGCATGACTCACGACGACGAGAACGTACGTCGTACTTGTCAAAACAAATTTTTTTTATTGAAAAAAAAATTTAATAAATAAATTATAATTATTATTATTTGATTAAAAAAAAGGGGGATACAAAATTTAAAAAGAAACTTACTTCATCAGCAAATTCGAAATCAGCTTCGAATTTCCTTTTACGTTTTCCTTCCGCGAAAATAACCGCGATGCAAAGGAATAAAATTATCCACAAAGATCGCATTTGTAATTATATTTAATATTATTATTATTATTATTATTAAATCCTTTTTTTTTGTTGTCGATTAATTTTATATTTGTTATAAATTACATATGAAAATATTAATTATAATTATTAATAAAAACCTTTTACAAAACAAAGAGAATAAAAAAAAATGAACAGCGCGTTAACGAAAAAAAAAAAAAGAAAAATTTTTTTTTGTAATTCAGATAACTACTAGTGAGCGAACTCCGGATTAACGACACACCAGTTCTTTACAACTGCACAGTCGCACAACGTCTGGTTGGAAAAAAAAAAATCTCACGGACTGACCTCTCAAAGGAAGCTTTTTTCAAGTGTCAATAACGTCGTCAAAGGAACGTTCACGCCACTCGTACCCTTTTATAAAAGTTTCAACCACTTTAAGTACGATACGTTGTAATGTCAGTTAAAAAACGTTACGTTTGATTTGATTTTTTTGTTTTTTTAAAGTTAATTTCGGATTATTATTATTTTATTTCATTTTTAAATAATTAAACAAATCATTTTAAAGTAATGAAAATAAATAAAACGATTATTTAACGTCTAATAATCAAATACCAATGTCAATTGTTTTTTGGCTAATCAAATAGGAAGTCATTAAAATAATTTTTAAATCATATTTTCTTTTTTTTTTTTTTGTTGTTTCTGCTGCATTTTTGGCACCGTTCTTATAAAATTTCACACTTTCTTATTTTGTAATAAAATTATTTACGAGTTTTAATTACGTCAGAGATTAATCGTGACAGAAAAGATTAAAGTTTCATCATCACTTTCCAAAAAAAAAAAATTCTTGTGTCATTTCATCAACAAACAAAATCTTTTCTGTTGTTTGTTCTTTCCACCAGAAACAGATAAATTCTTTCCTTAAAAAAAAAAAAAACCTCTTTAAATAATTCACTTATGCCAAATACATAAAATTTCCCCCCCCCCCCCAAAATGAATACAAATTAAATGATAATTATCATAAACTTACAAACCTTATGGAATTTCTTATCAATCATATCATATCACACACATTTATATATATATATATATCTTTTTATTATATTCGAATAATAATAATAATAATAATAATAATAATAATAATACGATCTAACAAATTTTTTTTAAAAAAACAATAAAATGTTTTATTAGTAACAAAAAAAAAAAAAAAAACAAAAAGTGAAATAATTAAAATGAACCTAATTCATGCACACTTTGATTCAAAAACATTTTAATTTAATAATGATTAATTTTTATGATAAAAAAGAAATAATAGAGATAGATGAATAGATAGATGATTGGATAGATAGATAGATAGATAGATGGGGAAAGTAAGAAAGAAAGAAAGAATGAGAGAAGAGAGAAGAAAAAAAGTCCTTTTTTTCTTCAAGTCATGTAAATCATGACAGCTCTAAGTGCGTAGAGTAATTCTGCTTGCATTCTCGCTTCTAAAATCATAAGGTTAACGTGAACCTTTTCCGAGTGTTCAAATTCCCTGAGAACCCTATCGTAGTCTTTTTTCGTCACACATTCCGGATAACAACACGTGGATTTAATGAATGCTTTAAGAGATCTTTCTAAAAGTTGATTAACTTCACCGTAATCGTAATCGTCGTGCCTAAAAATTAAGATTGATTTGGATTTTGTTTTTAAAAAAATTAATTATTCAAAACGTGTAAATAGAAAAGAAACAAACGAACCTGATGCCGAACATGCATTGAATATAATTCCAAACAGCCATACGAAACCTCGACGTGTCGACATCTTTTCTTCCTCCCATTGTATAATATGTGAGATTGTACGTCGTTTTGAACTTTTCATCGAGAAGATTTCCTACGTCGTTGTACAATTGATTGACTAATGAATATCCCTGATCGTCCCAGGAATAATCCTTCGACAAACAACAAACAAAAAATAAATTTATCATTTCGATGGGTCGTCGTGGTTCTTCCCCTCACCAATCAATTAAATACCTGAACTCTGAACGTTGGTATGTCGTGATCTCCTCTTTTAGCAAAGTCTTGATATAAAAACGTTGGATCCTCCACAAAGTGTCCAATGTCTGCATTTAAATTCGGATTTGGAAGCTCCAAGTTGGAACTCAGTTCAATGCTTTGAGTTTCAACGTTTTCAAACCTTTTCGCAGCCTCTTCCTGAGAACATTCTTCCGATTTTTGCGATAAAGTCTTCATTCTCTCCATAAGCGTTTCAAGGCCGACTTCGGATTCGGTCGTTGGTACGGCATTCGTGACAGACCAAGACCCTGTAAATTTTTCATTATTTTTCATTATTTATCTTCTTATTCTTTTCGCCCCCTGCCCCCCATCACCACCACTCCCTTCATTTTCAATGCTTACGCCCTTTGTCGGTTGTCGGCGTCGACCATATTGCATTGTTCACTTTGGGCGATGATTTCGGAGTGGCGTTATCTCCTAAGCTACCGTCGAATCTACGAATACCGTCTTGGTCTAATTCTTCGTTGACACCACAGCCGAATACGAAAGACGAGAGAGCGTGAAAGTGTGCTAGTATCACTATGGCGTGCACGACTTCAGCCAATGACCAAGATTCCGTTCCTTTTGTTAATTTCTACAAACAACAACAACAACCCTCGTTTGTTTGCACACACATATATCGAACCGTAAAAAAAAAAAAATCATTCGTGATAATAATAATAATAATAATTATCATTTACCTCGATGTGAGATTTATTCATTAGCCATGGTCTGTGTGCTAATATTTTATTTATATCGTAGAGATCTCGAAGTTTTTGCGGTATGGCTTTCAGTCCTTTGAGCCAATTCGACTCTCCTCCCTGGAGCAAAAATTCTTGCTTTTGTAAATTTATTAGATAACTACATTTGTGTCTTCCGGCCGCCTGTAATAAAAACAAACGCATAAGTCGAAATTGAAAAAACCGTCCCATCTCGCCCAAAAAACTATTCGCCATTCCCCTATACTACTACTAATAATAATAATAAACAGTATTTTTTTTCTTTATATGTAAAAAAAAAAAAAAAAATTTGCCGGCGGCCATAAAAAAAAATTTACATCACAAAAACAAATAAAATATCGATGGTAAATATCGCGGGAAAAGAAAGAAAAGAAAAAAAAACAAACAAACAAACAAACATAAAAAAAAGAAATCATGACTAAGTCGAGCCAACGAAAACAAGGTCGACCACAAAAATTTAATTAAAAAGAAAAAAAAAAAAAAAAAGGAAAAATATTATTGGCGAAAAAAAATAAGTTAAAATGCGAAATTCAAAAATAATAATAATAATAATTAAGATAACAAACAAAAAAGAAGTCAAAACAATTAACAAACGGAAAACGTGCTAAAGATTCGTTAGAAGAGAAAAAAAAATGGGAAATTTGTAATGAAAAAACGATAAGTTAAAAAAAAAAAAAAAAAAACGTTTTCGATAAAAATAAAATTTTACAATTAAAACGATGATAGACAGACAGACAGACAGACAAACAAACAAACAAACGAAAACAATAGAAAAAAAAATTAGGCTAATGAGTGAAAAAAAGTTAATGCAAAAAGAAAAAACGTTGCCATTGGCTGACATCGAACGACCAATGAAATGACGGCAAAACATCTCATTGGTCGTTCCAATCAATCTCTCTCTTTCAAGAGAGAGAGAGAGAGTGAGAGAGAGAGAGAGAGAGAAAGAGAGAGAGAAACGTTTAAACTCACCATGATGGCAATGAAATGCCTGTAATCATAGGGCAATGGTCCATCTCCCCTGAGAATGAAATTTTGCGTTTTTAAAAATATATCCAGGTACAAAGGATGATAGCCCATAACTTGGGTCACATGGTCCAGTCGATTGTTTTGTAGGAAGGCATCAACAAATAATAAATGAGTCTAAAAACAAAAAACAAAAACAAACAAACAACATTAATAATAATAATAAATAACGATGACGTAACAAATTATTATAAATACGTCAGCAATGACCTTTCCCCCCCTCCCCCCAATGATATTTATATATTTATATCGAACGAACTTGGAAGAAGAAATCTCACCTGTTCAAAATAAGACTCGGAAAATTTCATAACAAATATAAAATAGTAATAATAATAATGATAATAATAATGATAATAATAAATGATTTATGAGTTTTTCAATGAAAAGCAAAAAAAAAAAAAAAAAAAAAAAAAAAGAAAAGGAAAAGTTTATTTTTTTTTTAAATGCAAAATGGCGTCACAACACTCCTGGCATTTTTTTTCTTTTTTTTTAATGATGTTAATAATAATAATAATAATAATAAAAACAACAAATTACGTAATTTTCCCTACGTGAAATAATCGATTAATAAATAAATAACTTTTCTTAATAAAAAAAAAAAAAAAAAAAATTAAAAACAAAAACTGGATTTTTTTGGGGAGGTCGAAACTAAGCATAAACTTCGCATTAGATTTTTTCTTTTTTTTCTTTTTTCTTTCTTTCCACCATTGACATTCCCTTTTCGCAACCATTAATTATCGGTAGGTGTTAATCGGGGGGAGGGAGATAATAATAATAATGCTGATAATTTCGTACCTGCAGGTACCGACAACCACACGACGACGCACGTTGTGGAAAAAAAAATGAATCGGAAAATGCTGGTAAGAATAACATTTTTTTCCTTTTTGTTTTTTTTTTTTTTTTGTAATAAAAGACAAATAAGCGATAACGACAACGACAACAACAACAACAACAACAAATAATAATAATAATAATATTAACGATGACAAAAATAACTGGTGGCAAGGACAAACGGTGGCATGTTTCGGATGATTTGTTTTTTTCATCAGGCTTTTTTCTGCGTCAAAGAAATGGACGACAAACAACAACAACAACAACAACAACAAGCCCACCAAGTTATTAAAAAAAAACCAAAAATGTTTTTCGCTCACGCACACGCACACGCACTATATTTATTTTTTTTTTATTTTTCGAAAGATGATAAATAATTTTTAATGTTTCACGGTAAATATAATCAAATAAATTTTCTTTTTTTAATTTATTTTGGCACATGTGATGACGTCACGCCATTAAAACAAACAAACAAACAAAAATGATTTCCATCGATTTGCGTGGTTCAAACATGAAAAATCGAGTCAAAAAAAAATTGCTCTTTTTTTTTTAAATTTTCCAATCAAACCACAAAATTTACGTATTGTATTGGGGGGCAAAAAAAAAATTCTCTAACAACTACAATCAATCGTTTGTTTAAACGATGTACAACAACAACAATTACAAAATACATCGTAAACCCTTCGAAAAAAAAAAAAAAAAACAATAAAATTCATTAATTTACGACTTTGTTGCGTCACGTCGTCGTAGTCTATTAAAACTTTCGTTTAAAAACAAACGACAACAACAACAACAACAAGAAAAAATTTCACACACGAAGGACAAATTTAAATAAAAAAAAAACAACAAAAAAATTAGGTAGATAAAAAAGAGAGAGAGAGAGAGAAGAGAAGGAAGGAAAGAGGGGGGAAATAACAACAACAACAACAAACAAACGAATAAATTTTTTTTTTTTTTAAATCGTTTGTTAATAAATTAATAAAATAAATTATCGACGATGGCAAACAACCAAAAAAACAACCATTCATTGAAATAAATAATCAACAAAAAAAACGAGAAAGACAAAGACGAAAACAAATCGAACAGAGAGAAAGAGAGAGAGAGAGAGAGAGGTGGAAAATGCTTTTCGGAAAATCTTTCAGAATGTGCAAAGAAGTGAGAGAGACAAAATACCAACATTAAAAAAAAAAATTACAACGACACGAGCGTTCGATGCAATTCACGTGACACTCCTCCCCCCTCTTACTCTCTCTTCTACCTACCAACCGAAACAAACGTTTTTTACATTATTCGATAAATTTCGATGCCAATTTTTTTTTTTCTCCTTTTTTCCTTATTCATCCTAATCAAAAGTCAATGTCAAAATGTGAGAACGATCACGTTTTTCACATGATGGTTCGGGAAGAAAAAAAAAGGGGGGGGAGTCGCACAAGGACGTCGTGGAAGAAAAAAAAAAAAAATGCGAGCACACGATCGACACAACAACAACAACAACAACGCACGCACGCACGAACACAAAAACTTTTTTTTTAAAAAAAAATTAATTTAAATAAATGCAAGATGGCAACATTGATAATAATAATAATAATTACGAGCTCCCGTGATAAGAAACCTTGAAATTCACGAGTTTTATGTGATAACAAAATCATTATTATTATTATTTAAAAAAAAAAAAAGATATTAATTACGATGGTGATGTTGATAATATTAATATTAATAATAATAATCACGATGATGATGATGATGATGATAACGAACCGCGTGTTTTTTCGAAAATAGATAAAAAAAAATTGACAGTTATTGGAAACGGGAAAATCGTCGCGGAAGGAAGGAAAATTCCCCTTTTTTCCCTCGGGACTCAGTTGTCACTTTTAAAACCTGTCGTAAACTAATATTTTATTCGATCGTATTTATTCGTCAATAGAGCAAAAAAAAAAAAAGAGTAAAAAAAATAAGAAAAACCCCAACAAACGAGACAAACAAGGTGTGTTTGGGGGGAGGAATGGGGAGGGGAACAGGGAAAACAAAAACAAATTTACCGCGACGTGAAAAATATTTCCCAAAACAACGTGAAATACAAATAAATGGGGGAAAACGATGAAATCGTCATCAAAAAAAAATTTGATGACGGGGAAAAGGGTAGTAAGGGATGTAATAATAATAATAATAATGATAATAATGATAATAACATTAAAAGGAAAACAAACGAGGAAATATATGTCGACAATCGAAAAGAATAACTCGCGAAATTATCAAATAAAATTTCAAACGCGACTCGTTACGTCGACATTTTTCCCTACACTCTCCTCCCCCCTAAATATCCATAGAATAAATAAACAAATAAAAACAAATCCAACGTTAAAAACGACACCCGACTTAATTAAAAATGCAAGCAAGCAAACAAACAAACAAACAAACAAAACAAAAAAAAAATTAAATTACATGTAACATTAAATTTACTGTTGCGTGGAATTTTCTTGTTTTTTTTTTTTTTTTTTTTTTGTTCACCGTTGTTTGTTGTTTGTTTGTGACTAAAAATAAAACTAAAAAAAAAAAAAAACGAGTTTGGCATACAAACGACAACAAATTATTCGCTTTAATGTATATAAATAAATAAATTAATGTAATTTAATTTTTTCACAACAACAAAACAAAAACAAAAACAACAACAACTGCGACGACGATGATGACGACGACGACGACGACGACCCCACAAAACAACCGGTTTATACCATATTTGTTAATAATAATAATAATAATAATTTCATTTTTAATTTATGTAAATTATAAAAATTCCAATTAAGAGAAAAAAAAAATTTTTTTTTTTTTACAAATTAACAGGAAATGAAAATTTTCCAAAAAGGAAATTAAGCGTTAATCCATCGTGTAAACTTTTTACGTCGTTCCCGGACAAAAAAAATAAATAAAAAATAAATAAAATTTTTAATTTTGGAATTATCACTCCCCTCTCCCCTTCTCCCTTGCCCCCCGAAAAAAATTCCCCCCTCCGTTTTTTTAATTCGAATTAACAAAAAGGAAATAATTTTTTTTTTTTGGCGGTTTTCTTCTTTTTCGTTCGATTAATCGAAAAAACAAAATGTCTACCTCACATTATTATCATTATCATTATTATTATTATTATTTTTCATTTAATTTTATCGACGGTAAAAAAAAAAAAAAAAATCAACATTTTCTACTACGTCACATCACGACGTCGTTATTTTCGAAATCCAAGGGAGATAGAAAAAATTATCACACCGGAGGGAAGGGGGGGCACTGCATATTGATAACAACAAGTGTCAACATTTTTTTTACACGGGGGGGAGGGGAATCTCTATCGCATTTTATTCAAATATCCTCCTCTTCCATACGAAAAAAAACCCCCCACGAATACGTCACGAAAACGACAGCCCCAAACGGTTTCGAAATCAACATCATCATCATCATCATCATTATTATTATTATTATTATTAAATAACCGTCGCTGTCGTTCGGGTAATAAATAAATAAATAATTTTCGAACGATATTTACAAAAAGAAGAGGAGTAGGAGGACCGCACTGCGAATTAAAAATATTTGATTTATTAATAGAAAAAGGAAGGAGGGAAGGGAGGTTGGTTTTCGGTCAAGGGAAGGAAAATCGTAAAACATCCCCTCCCCTCTCCCACCCCAACGTCAAAGTTTAAAATTTTTCCCGAAGGATCGCAACAATAGAAATTATTACTTCTGCCAACAACAATCGAATAAAATTAATCAATAAGAGTAAAAAAAAAAAAAAAAAAATGTCGACGGTAAATAAGAAGAAAATTCCTTTCTTTTCCTTATTCCTCCCCCTACTCCTCCTCCTCCTACTTTCCCCTCTCCCCGGTCATTCCCTTCCCACTTCACCCCCGGAAAAAAAATTCTCATTTGTTTTTATGCTTCTATTTTCTTTTTACGTGAATGATTTCATTTTCTCGTGTAAAAATTAACGAATGGCGACGTTGATGATGATGATGATGATGATAATGATAATAGTTAAAATAAAAACAAACAAACGAACGAACGAACGGTTAACTTATTACTTTTCACGCGGAAGAAAAGAACGGGGAAAAAAATTTCTTTTTTTTTTTTTTATTTATAATCGAAAGCGATTTACGTCACTCGATGATTGATTGATGAATAGAAGGAAAATCAATCAATAATCGATAATCGAAACTTTTAACGTAAAGAAAACTAAAAAAAAAATTAATAATCGTAAAAAACTGAGTATTAAACAACGAGATATCGCGACATTTTTCATTTCATTTTTTTTTTTAAAGTAAAATTTTCGTAAAAACGTGTAAGGAACGAAAAAAAAAAAAAAATAGTCTAGAGACACGTTCGATTGTTAACCCGACCGACCTTGTTCCTGTACCAAACTTGTTTTCGATCACAAAAATGAGAGAGAGAGAGAGAGAGAGAGAGAGAGAAACCATTCGTAAATTTTTATTTTGTT